GACCATTTGCATGTGATCAACCGGAAATTTTACAGAAGTTACACAAATCTGAAAGTACTATTATCATTGATGGCTACAATGGTGTCCTAAAGATTTGTGGATGTTGTGAACACTACTTCCTATTGCTTTTCCCAACCCCCTGCTGCATTGAAATTTAATCAGTTTTCTGTATTTTTTGAAGCAGAGCTGTCACTGGCAGTATCATACTTTTGCATATGCATCAGTTTGGCTCTAGAATAGATTTTTGTTCACACTGGACTCCTACTGATGTGCACTGATTCAAAGTCTAAAAATTGCATTTAATTTTATATAGCTTACAAGTAGTCCTTAGAGAGTATTGGATCTAAAAGCTAATATTTTTCAGACATAATCAGTAGAATAGGTAATGTATTACCGTTAGTCACGTTAGCAGCAATTGTAACAAAAGGAAACAGTAAACATAAATGCTCTCAGCAACTTCATTCTTTACAAAGAATATTAATATAAAATTACACAAATTAGAGTTGCCGTTTAACATTATTCAACATGTTTATTCATAATGATTGTTTCATATTTAAATAACACCAAAATATTGTGTTTTGTCAGCCAAGGACAATAATAGTTTAATAGTAATTTATTTTAAACAGCCACTGATAATACAACCAATCAACACATTAAGTGGTGCCAACATTGGCATCTTGCTAAATAATCTCTAGATATTGCACAGAGAGTACATCTTTCAAAGATAAGTCAACAAGAGCAATCAGAGCAGAAAATTAGAATTTGGTATCTTAGAATTAAAATACAGCTAAAGTTTTAATTGGGGTGATCTAAAAGGGCACTTGATGTAATGATCGCTTTCATTTGTTACTAATTGTTTGTTCCTGATGAAGAAGAAGCCTACACAGGAATGTTGCTGAATTGAGTTAAGATGGCAGTTTCCTTAGCAGCTATGTTTTATTGTTAAACAAAAAAGAGTTGGGAGGGGCAGACTGCCGTGAAGAAATCTCTTTAGCTTGTTTCATATCACAAGAATTATACTAGGAGATTCAGGGTCGGCTATCGCAAATATGGATTAATTTATATGTTTTTGAAAGAGAATAAAATTGGCTTACTGCAAAGCTATAAACGTCTTTGGTAGGCTGAAGTAAGACTACCTCTCTGTTGCACTTGCAAGTCAAGCTGGGGTTGAAATTCCTGATTCAAATTGCTCTCAATGTCTTCTTTGCAAGGGAGTCACATCCTAGAATATATCTAAGAATGACATCAACTTTCATTTCATTTTAACTTCAGTTGAAAATTCAGTCTCCAACACTCACAGACCAAGGAAAAATATCTTCTACTTCAAAAACTCATTTTGTATTGCTGAATTGAAGAGAATAGAAGTTTTAGTTCTAATTTAACTGTTTCAGAGTATTTTAGGTGAGAAAACAGGAATGGTTTCTATATGTTTAACATATTTCCATATATAATTTTCAAGAATCTTAAAATACTGCTAATTTTTATTTATTTTTATTTTTATTTTTGTTTTTTGAAAGAAAGAAAGAAAGATAAAGAGAAAGGGGGAGAGAGAACAGGAGTCTTGTTCTATTGCCCAGGCTGGAATGCAATCTAAAAATAGGTATTAAAAACCTCTTTTATACCGATAATTGTGCTTAACAGCAGAGACAGGAAGGAATAAGGGAAGAAAATAACAAACATCCAACCAATATTTTATTTAAGTCTGTGAAATGCTATGCAAATGCTGAGGAGTGATTTACTTCCAATTATGTGGTCACTTTCAAAATAGGTATAATGTGATACTGAGAAAAATGTATGTTCTGTAGACCTGGGGTGAAGAATTTTATATTCACTGAGTTTACTTGTTCCAGGTCTGAGTTCACATCATAGATGTTCCCGTTAATTTTCTATCTCGTTGATCTCTCAAATATTAACAATATGGTGTCAAAGTCTCCCGCTATTATTGTGCGTGAGTCGAAGTCTCTTTATAAGTCATTGAGAATTTGTCTTATGTATCTGGGTGCATATATATTTATGATCATTGACTCCTGTTGTTGCATTATCCTTTTACCATTATGTAATGTCCTTCTTTGTTTCTTTTAGTCTTTGTTACTATTAAAGTCTATTTTGTCAGAGAGGAAAGTTACAACTCCTGTTTTGTTTTTTGTCTTCCTTTTTGCTCTCCATTTGATTGATAAGTCTTCCACCAAACCTTTGTTTTGAGTCTTTGTGTGTCCATGCTTTTAAGATAGATCTGGATACAGCCTACCGATGGGTTTTGAATTTTTATTCAATTTGCCTTTCAGTGTCTTTGATTGGGGCATTTAATCCATTTAAATTTAGGATTAATATTGATATTTGTGAGTTTAATATTGTCGTTTCATGCTAGCTGGCTATTTTGCCCATTAGTTGACATAGAGTCTTCATTATGAAGATACTCTTTACCTTTTGGTAAGTTTTTGGGATAACTGATACTGGTTGTTCCTTTCTGTGTATAGTGCTTCTTTCAGAAGCTCTTGTAAGCAGGCCTGGTAGTGATGAAATCTCTGAGTGCTTGCTTGTTCACGAAAAATTTTATTTTTCCTTCATTTATGAAGCTTAGTTTGGCTGGATATGAGATTCTGGGTTGAAAATTCTTTTATTTGAGGATATTGAATATTGACCCCCACTCTCTTCTAGTTTGTAGGGTTTCTGCTGAGAGATCTGCTGTGAGTCTGATAGGCTTCCCTTCATGGGTAACCTGACCTTTCTCTCTAGCTGCCCTTAGAATTTTCTCCTTTCAACCCTGGTGAATCTAACGATTATGTGTCTTGGGGTTGCTCTACTTGAGGAATATCTTTGTGGTGTCCTCTGTATTACCTGTAGTTGAGTATTGTCCTGCATTACTAGGTTAGGAAAGTTTTCCTGAATAATATCCTGAAGAATATTTTCCAGCTTGGATTCATTCTCTTCATGACATTCAGGTACACCTATCAGACGTAAAATAGGTCTTTTCACATAGTTCCATATTTCTTGGAGGCTTAGCTCATTCCTTTTTACTCTTTTTTTCTCTAATCTTGTCTTCTCGTTTCATTTCATTAAGTTGGTCTTCGACCTCTGATGTCCTTTCTTCTGCTTGATCAATTCGACTGTTAAAACCTGTGCATACTTCACAGAGTTCTCATATTGTGTTCTTCAGTTCCATTAATTCACTTATATTCCTCTCTATTCTTGTTAGGATTTTATCAAACTTTTTTTCAAGGTTCTTAGTTTCTTTACATTGGGCTAGAACATGTTCTTTTAACTCACAAAAAATTCTTATTATCCACCTTCTGAAGCCTAATTCTGTTAATGGAATGCACTCGTTCTCCATCAGGCCTTGTTCCCTTGTTGATGAGAAACTGTGATCCCCTATAGAGGGAGAGGCATTCTGATTTTGGGTATTCTCGGCTTTTTTACACTGGTTTCTTCCCTTCATTGTAAATTTATCCACCTGTCGTCTTTGTAATTACAGACTTTCAAATTAGGTCTCCGAGTTGACGTCCAACTTGTTGATTCCCAGTGCCGGAATCTGAGCAACCCACTGCACCAGCTAAAACAGCGGGTGTTAAGATTCATGGTGCTTTTCTGCCCAGGGAATCTCTGGTCTGGCTTCCTTCTTGAGTCCCTTTTTCAATCAGCTGAATAGGTGACTCTGCCTTCCCGGAGCTCCAAATGTTGACCAAAACGGGACCCAGTCCCATCTACTCTGTACCAAGAACGGTGGCGCTGAGGCGCGGGCAAAACCGCGGCGCCAGCCACAAGAGTCACGCTGGTGACCTGTGGGGCTCCTCCACTGGGAATTCCCTGGTCCGTGAGCAACAGAAATTCGTCTGAAAGTGTGGCGTCCTCTCATTCTTTGCACTTACACTGGGAGCTACAATCCTGAGCTGCTAGTAATCAGCCATCTTGGATGTCTCTCTAATACTGCCAATTTTTAAAAGCATACGGTTCATCAAAGTGTATATATATATATATGATTACTCATATGCATAAGCTTTGCTTTCTCCATATGTTCTTTTAAATTATTATGCTCTCTAGTTGTTTTCTAGAAGTTATCCTGAGTTTATTACAACCATCTCGAATGGCTTTTTAAAAAAAAATGCACTACTAAACTAAGTTTTAGATCCTTCAAATATATCATGTATCTCAGCGAAAATGTAGCAGTACTCTAATTTCCATTTGTGAAATTTTAAAATCCAGTATATACTAGGCACTTTCTGGGCCCTTGGGGACATAGTCCTGAGTGAGAGAACATGCCCCTACCCCAGAGAGTTTGCATTTTAGTAGACAAGACATAACATAAATCAGTAAACAAATAAATATATGTCAATACCACATAATGTTACATTCTATGAAGAGTTTTAAGGAGGGTGTAATAACATACATTTAGAGAAAGGGTGGTAATTAAGAGAAGGCCTCTCTTGAATGGTGACTTTGAGCACAGATGAAATGAAATGAGGGTGTGAACCATGCAAAGATCTGGAGGAAAAGCATTAAAAAAGGGAACAGAAAGAGCAAAGTATGTGAGGGCAGAAACAAATTGTTGCATTGAGGAACCATAAGGAGGCCATTGAAGCTAAGCACTCATGGTAGGGAATGGGAGAATTAGCTTTGAGGAGAAAGGTGAGCACTGCCAGGTTCTTTGGAGGTTGTATAAACCATGTCAGGTAAGTACTTGTGGAGGAATTACAGCCTAATTTCCTTCTCAGTTCTTATTTTTTAGACATGCTTATGTGCTGTCCTTATTTAGCTTTGGATCTAGATATTCTAATTGGAAGCAATTGAATCTGCATGCCATAAATATTTCTTCCTAAAATAGTTTAATTAAAATTAGGAGTTTTGTGCTTTAGTTATAGTATTTGTCCTAGTGAGTGCAGAGTGAATGTACAAGAATTAGATAATTTAATTACTAGGTTCTTCCCTTTTAAAATGGTTTTAAGTAATGAATGAAATGTTCTTTGTATTAAAATGTTATCATTCCAAATATCTTCTTTGTACAGGGGCTCTTGAAAGTTGCCATAGATAATGCCAGAGCTCAAGAGAAACAGGTCCAACTGGAAAAAACAGAGCTGAAGATGGATTTTTTAAGGGAAAGAGAACTAAGAGAAACACTTGAGAAGCAGTTGGCTATGGAACAAAAGAATAGAGGTATTTTGACATTTCCAAATAAGTTTAATATTTACAAAAATATTAAACATATTAATACTATGATGGTGATTTATTCTGAAATTGTTGTATTTTTGTTAACTGTAGCTAAAGTTCAGCGCAGTATTTGATCCTAAGCTCATTGTATTTATTAATCTCCAAAGTACATGTTTTCTCTTCTGTTCCTACCTCTGGAAATTGAAATACATCCATTATATTATTAATCATATAACTTTTATTGATTGTTGAGTTTAACAAATTCATGTTCTTTAAGATAAGAATAAACTCTAATGATAGCCATGAAGAAAAATTTTATGTTCATTCACAATTGCCCTTTGAAAAACTTGAGTTAAAATCATAAAGCTAAAATAGAAAATACTGATTATTCAAGTGAAGCAGGTTTACTAAAATATTTATCAACAGAAGTTGAAAACAGATGAATATCTGAACTAATGACCTAAGTTAAATGTTTGTATAATTTTCTTTCTGAAGGCCTTATTTTCATCCAACAAGGTCAGGTACACAGAGTAGAAATTGATATAAATTCTTGTTGGATAAAATAATATTATTGTTGATCTTTGAATTTCTTCTTTTATCACACTGTACAGTGCATCTATAAGTAATTTTGAAGGTGATCTATATTTACCTTTTACTTTACATATGAATTTAAAGATTATGAATGAGCGACTGCCTTATTGCTTTACTATGATTCTTTTAAGTATTCCAAAAGTGAACGTGAGGGCTTCTTTTCTCTCATTTAATATATATCCAATATGAACACTCCATGTTATTTTCTTTTGTATGTTTGACATGATCATTTAAAAATCATTGTTTCTGTTTTGCTTTTAAACTAGCGGGATTTACTAGGTTGTTTTATTAGCTATTATGAAGCAACAGCTAGTGTATCCTTGGAATTTGGTCAATTTGGGAAGCTGTCATCCCAGATGTATAGCACAATTCTAAATAATGTGGCTTTGCATGGATTCAGGTATGAAAATAATCAAAACAAGACAAACATTGATAATGGCTGTATTCCAAGTGAATAAAGAAGTTTGGTCAAAGAGCTTAATCCATGGAACCATCTTCCATAAGACAGCCATGTTTTTATTTTGTTCTCACTTAATTTTTAGGCAGGCCCAGCGATTCCTAAAGTAACTCTTTGGTTACTGGAGAGACCTTCTTCAAACCTTTGGGGAGGATTTACATTCTGTTTTCTTTCTTTAAACCACTAGAGGGCAAAACATTCACAGATCACACCATAAAGTTCCAATTTAATTAATTATGAACAGTAAATTCAAGGCAATAACTATCAATACTTATATATAATGAATGTGTCAATTGAAGGAGTGTATTACCCTGAAGAGAGAGAACATGGCATTCCCATTTAGTTCGATCACATAGGAAAAATCTGTGAGTGGTCAAGGGCAAGGTACAGGTTAGCCTTTTGAGCCACAAGAGTGTACAACCCAAATAAATACTTCAGAAATGACTGTTTCTTTTAAAAGAGGCTCATAAATAATCATCTTTGGAAAGGGAAACAGTAGGCAGGTAATTTTGTTAAGGTAAGCACATGATTTGCACACCATTAAATAAAAGAAATTAACATTTATTTAAAATCTGTTTCAGTTACTTTTTATATAACATCATAACCAGTGTACATATTAATATAAAGCAGGTTTTGCAAAAGATATGGTACAGCCACAATAAATGACGTGTAAATGAGCTGCCATCTTAAAAATACTACTAATAAAAACAGGATTATGTGGAAATTAGAAATTAAAACAAATACTTATTTGAGCCATTATTATTTAATATTTTGATTAAACATTCTGTTTTAAAAGTGTTGCTGTTCTTTAATCTGTAGTAAGAAATCAAATAGTAAATAGTGAATGATTAGTCTTCATGACCAAGGGAAGCTTTCTTATCCTGAGTCTGTTGCATTAATATCTACAGTGTTTATCAATCATCAATAAAGATAATTTTAAAGAAAAATGCATATTCCCATATGCTGATTAGTTGCTGTATGTATATATATATATGTAGTAAAAGTTAAAACAATTATCTTCCTGAAAGTGTAGTTGATATGCATTTTGTAAGGAACATTAGTTACTATTTATTGAGTATATATCATATACAAATATTTGAATTGTCCAGTTGGAGAAAAATGTTTCATAATCAACTTTTTGTATTATCTACTTTTTTAAATGTAAATATCTCATTATTGCTATCAATAGCACATTATTATTAGCAATGAGATTTTATACTGCCCCACATTCCTGCAGAGTGAAAGTATAATAATTTTATTAAAATATGTAAATTTTTAATAGTTTTTTTAAACTATTAAAACACTGCAAATTTGCAATGAGAAAAATAGCCTCAGGAAATCATCATAACTTCATCCAAACAAAAACATTTCTGCTTATATACATTAACAATAATTAAGAGTATTTTTTTCCTCTTGTATGAAAAATATTTATTGCATTTTTCTAAAATTTTAAGAAAGAAATTATTAAAAACTGAGTTGGTTTAACATTGCTTTCCAAAGCGTTTTTATGTGAAATGTTCCATTTGCTGCTCAAAATTTATGTCCTATGAAGAGATAGGAGGGAGGCATGCTTATAAGGGTTTGCACTGTCCAAACAACTCTGCACTGCTGTGATTCAAGGACAGAGAACTAAGCCACAAAACTCATTTAATCAAGCCTCCTTTATCAGAGAATACAAACATTTACTAAAATTAGTTTCCTATTAAATTTATCTTTGCATATGACAATTAAAGCCATTTTTGTAATAGTTCTAGGCTAAAATAAAAAATGAGCTTTCTTATTATTTTACTGGGAATTATTTTAGGTAAAGGTGGCATTTTTTTAACTTCCTTTTTGTAGGTAGACAGTCCACAGGAAAACAAAATGAATAATATAAAAAACATAGACCATTTGTAAATTAGCAGCATTACAAAAATTTCAAAAATCATAATAATGTGCATACACTCTTTTCTAGCCATAGTTCAAAAGAGGCTAAAGAAGGAAAAGAAGGCAAAGAGAAAATTGCAGGAAGCACTTGAGTTTGAGACGAAACGGCGTGAACAAGCAGAACAGACGCTAAAACAGGCAGCTTCAACAGATAGTCTCAGGGTCTTAAATGGTAAGAGGATGTATATTATTGCATGACTAACTTTCATTTTTAATACTTAAAGGACAGTTTAGACATGTGTTTGTGGTTTGTATGTTTCTATATCTTGTGATTCATTCAGCTGTACTTGAAGCTGAAAGCAGGATGGGAAGAACATATTGGGGAAATGCCTTATTTCATAGGAGCTTCCACTGTTTTTCACTGAATTCCAGCATCTGGGACTTGGCATTGCTTCTCTGTTTAACCAAATCTTTCTCTACTGAAACAGCATGTAATATTAATTTGAGAATTTCTGACACCCCTTCCTCTTTTATGAACAATGTTGAATTGCTTACTGTTCAAATCTTCTGAAAATTCTTATGGTTATAGTGTCTGTTCAACCTTTAAAAGATGACAAAGATTTATGTAATTTTAATTCAGCACTAAAGTAACAGGTTGCTCTTTGTATTTTTAAAGGACAATAAGAATCAAATGAAATATGTGTCACTCTTACCTTTTTGTGCTTTTAGACTCTCTGACCCCAGAGATAGAAGCTGACCGCAGTGGCGGCAGAACAGATGCTGAAAGGACAATACAAGGTAGGAATTTGCAGAAGGCTATAAATCTAGATCTTGCTATATGAGGTTTTCCTCAGCTTTAGCCTGCTATTCAAGCATGTAGCCTACCATCTGGGCCACATCAAAACAAGTTCAAACAAGGTCAAGTTCATCTTGCTTGTTTATATGAGTGAATTCATTTTGTGCTGATAGATTTTCTTTAAATTAACAGGTCATCTCTGTTTATACAATGCAATTAAAAGGAATAATTAATTTTAAACAATGTATGATTTAATCTTGGACACAGTAAATGTGTTTTATTGAATGTTTGAAACCCAGTATAATGCAGGAAGGGTTTATAAGTTCTATGCTACATAAATAAAATCATGGGTTAATCAAATAGGTAGTTCTTACAATTTAAAAATGTCTAACTACTCATTTTTATGACAGTTACTTCAAGGTACCTGCAAAATAGACTGGTTGAATGTTAACAATAAATAAGATTGCTTAGTTCCTATGTGGATTCCAAATGTTCTGTATGCCATTATATACACTTTAATAACACAAATCTGCTGAGTAAAATCATATATAGAATACCAAAGGGAGTTGTATTAAATGCTCAGAAGAGCTAAATATGTATATTGTCAAGACTATACTATTAGAAAAGAATAAAACCAGAAGGTAGCATTTATAGTCAAACATCTATTCTAGAAAACAAATTCAACCTAACGGTGTGAATACTAAGCAGTAACAAGAGCATTTTTTTTCTATTTAAAATGAAGGTGATTCTTCAAAGGGATGCCTAAAATGATTAACTGCAATAATCCTCCCAATTGCTTTTATTCTGCATTTTAAACCCAATCATTTTTAGGATGCTGCATGACATTAATTGTGTTAATCAGCTCCAAAAGTGTCTTTCTTGGCTTAGTATAAAGTAAATATACTTTTGTAAAGTATCATATGGGCAAGAAGTAACAATCACAAACTTGAAGAGACATTTTTGGGGAAAGAATGGATCTTTTTTGCCTATATTTATTTTACCTGAGGCCATGCTAATTAATTTGTAAATCCTGAGGTTTGAATCATATGTTATTATGAGACAGCTTGGATATACAAGATTAATGCTATTGTAGATCTGGAGAAAGATCTTAATTTTTAGAGTATTATGGAATTCAGTACAATCATATGTGTGCATGTGTGTGTGTTTGTGTGTATATGGTTATGAAAATGAAAAGAATCCTCTTGCATCTTATGAAACTTACATACATATGTTAAAAATTACTGTTAATGACATTTCTCTTTATCAGGGACAATAGCACCGATAAGATAAATGCAAATATCAGCACTATTCTATACATTCAGGGGCTACTCATGCATTAGGTAATGTCAAAGTGGTCTTAGAAAGCACATGAGCCCATAGATAAGCATAATATTTAAATCATCTGGTATACACAGAATCCTCAATGTGGTCTGAACTCAATCTAGAAAAAGTTAGAGACAGTATAGTCCCGCATATAAATAAGAGATTCACTGTTAATATTAAGAAGTGATTAAACATTTTTGTATGGTTGATATAATATGGATGCTATAAGTACAAATATGTTGGGTAATAAGGCTATGGTTGTTTTTGTTTGAATTTGTCAAATTTACATATATTCAAATATACATTTTTATATAGGTAAAGTGTTGCTATATAAGGTTGAAATGTTAACAACTTTCAGTTTCTATTGTTGTGATTGACTTATTCTGAAGAAAAGTTTTAATCACAAATTGCCCTCCTTTTAGTATCCAGAATGATACCAATGGAGGAACACAGTAAACCTATGCGCCAACAACTTAATGATTAGGGAAACAAAACATTTGTGCAAAAACTATACATAGTAATTTAAAACCTTATATAAATTCTATGGAATTATTTTTGCCTTTAATTATAATAGAAAATCCTCACTCCATTCATTCAGTCTATCCATTGTTGTAATGGTCAAAATGTACAGTTGGTTTAATAAAACATACTAACAATACATTATATTTATCAGATAATATGACTTTTCCCAAATTTTAGTAAGGAAAACACTGTCAATGAATCTGTTTCTAGCTGTTAGATGCTAAAAGATATTTTACCAACAAACGATTTCAAGACTTTTAACAAAAGAGCAAAGAGATCATATTTGCTATTCTAACACCCTATTCAATAAGCTTAATTAGCCCTTTGAACTTTTTTTTTCTCTAACCTTAGACAAAATTCATATATTTGGAAGCTAACAAACAGAATACAATTAACTGTGAACAAAAGAAATCAAAGAAAGAAGACTGTATTTAGTTTAATGTTGTCTAAGGACAAGAAAGGGAAAGGCAAAGAAGAAAGAATCAAAACTCATTACTAATTTGTGAAACGGTCTGTGTCATGCATTTTGGGAGCCATGAGCACCTGCTGCTTCACAATTCAAGAATGACACACACAGCCTCTTGCACTCATTGCTTTCTCTCTCCATCTGTCCCCAAGTCCAGGTGTTATGACATTCTTTGTATTCTTTCTTGCTCTCAATCCAACCATAACTGAAATTATTTGCTATTCCAAAGAAAACTCAATTTATTGGGGAAGATAAAATAAGCCCACAGGTTTTTTAAGCTTTTCATGTATTTTTAATATTTCTGGCAATAAATAAATGCCTCACTTGGCCCAAGAGTTAGTCACCTAGAAGTTGGGAATTTAAATACTTACTGCTTGAGTGCTACGTAATTACCCATAAATACATAGGTTTTGGGTAGACTAAATTTTGCCTCATTGGTATTTTGTATCGTCAGTTCTATAAAACCACAGAAGTGGACAAGAGGAATCAAGAAAGTAGCTTAGAAAGTATTTCTGAAGAAAGAAGACCTAAATAATTTCCTTGAGTTTTCTTAATTAGGTAAATCAATTCATTGTACACAAGAAATTTCATTGCTGATTTTCTAATAACTAAGAATACATGAATTGAAAAAATGCTATAAATACAGAATAGACATTGAAAAATTAAAAAAAAATCAGGAACTGAAATATATGGCCATTAACTCTCTTATGCCTTATGTCATACAGTTTTATATGTCATGATTCATTTTGGAGTTCGAAAAATTTATTCTACTCAATAATTTTTCTAAGATCTTTTGAATATATAAAGTAGACAGAGTTCATATAAACAATCATCGAGCAGTGTTTTGGGCTAGTCAGTAAATATCCTTCAAAACCCGTTTGGCCCCTACACATATAAGTGCACATACATGCACATTTATGTAGACATATCTGTAACAGCATGCCTTTCTTCAGCTGAGTCATCAGTCTTATTTTATTCTCTCTCCTTAGGCAACAGCATTTCTTTAACTTACATATTTAGAAAATTTACAGGCATTTTTCCAATCCACTCACCTATCTCTTAAGAGTTCCAGATAATATCCAACCTTCTCTCTGTCTCTCTCTTTCTTTTTTTTTTTTTGACGGACTCTCACTCTGTCATCCAGACTGGAATGCAGTGGCGCGATCTCGGCTCACTGCACCTTCTGCCTCCCGGGTTCAACCAACTATCCTGCCTCAGCCTCCCAAGTAGCTGGAATTACAGGCATGCGCCACCACGCCCAGCTAATTTTTGTATTTTTAGTAGAGACAGGGTTTCACCATGTTAGCCAGGCTGGTCTCAAATTCCTGACCTCGTGATCTGCCCATTTTGGCCTCCCAAAGTGCTGGGATTACAGGCGTGAGCCACTGCATCCGGACCCAGATAATAATATACAACTTTTTACTTGGTCATCTCACAGAGACCTCAAAGTTCAGTGCAGAAAGCCAGAAGTATCCTCTCCCCTTTCTTCAAACCTGTCTCCATTGTTTCTTTCCTGTGGTACCCTCATCCATCCAATCCAATATTGTCCTTAATACGTAATGAAGGAAAAATGGAGCATGACGTTTCCATCCCTTATTCCCTCATCCTCTGTGCTCAGTCGCGACTCTTTCCTTTCAATTTATGTGCCCCCATCATAACGGAAGTTTTTGTTGTTATTTCACGTCTTTCCCACCTACTGGAGACATTTTTTCTTCTTCCTTGCCTTTACTTAACCACCCTTAAGTCCCAACTTGGAAGATATTTTCTCAAGGAACGCTTCCCAGAGCCCTCACTCTCCCACTGTGGCAACTTCCTGCTCCCTGGGACTATTTCTGCCACATAGAGGTTGTTACTACATCTTCCATTTCTCCATAGGAACATGCTGTACATGCAGTTCCTTGTTCAATGCCTTCTTCTTTTTTCCATGGTAGCGGGGCTGAGCATAAATCATGTCTGTTTTGTTCACTGTTGTCTGAGAGTGTTTGGCGCGTAGTGGTGCCTGCTGTGTATTCCCTGAAGGAATGAATCAGCCATTGATGACTTAGGACCTATGTTAGATCTTGTGGATATGAAGATCCTTAATGTTCTGACATTTCTCGGACTTTGGTTGGAGAGACTGATGGAAGGAAATAAAGGATGACCTAAGAAACACAGAATTAGGCGGGGCGTGGTGACTCATGCCTTTAATCCCAGCACTTTGGGAAGCTGAGGTGGGCAGATCACGAGGTCAGGAGTTCAAGACCAGCCTGGCCAAAATGATGAAACCCTATATCTACTCAAAATACAAAAAAATTAGCTTCGCATGGTGGTGGGCGCCTGTGATCCCAGCTACTCGGGAAACTGAGGCAGGAGAACCGCTTGAATCCGGGAGGCAGAGGTTGTAGTGAGCAGAAATAGCGCCATTACACTCCAGACTGGGCAACGGACGAGACTCCATCTAAAAAAAAAAAAAAAGAAAGAAAAGGAACCCATAATTAATGTTTATATCCAATAGCTGAATTAACAGGATGTGTTTATTCTTCTTTGTTTGCATTTCTAAACTTTATTTTCTTCTTTTCACATTTGACCTAAGATTTGGATTCTGTGAATACTTACATCCAGTTTTCCATTTTAAATTGATATTTAACTTACCACAGTAACAGAAAGTCTATTTTAAACTGGTAGTTTTTTGGTTTCACTTTTTAGGTAAAA